TGGATTGACTCCGTTAACAGGTGGGAGGGGTTAACTCCTTTTGCAGATTGAAACCATTGGATTTGAGGGGTAATAACCCCGAGTGAGTGAGGCATTTAGCATTTAGCCTAGCTTTAGCATTTAGCCTAGCTTTAGTATTTAGCCTAGCTTTAGCCATCTCCTCGGCCGCTAACGGAGCCCGTGGGGAGTAGAGCCACAACATCTTTGCTTCAATGACATTTACTAAACATTCCTCTTGCTCCGGCTTCAGTTTCTTGATATTTGGATTGAACCAGAACAGATTATTTTACTATCGCATTTTCCGACAAACTACAACCAGAAAATTCAGCACAAACTCTTGACGTCACCGACACCGACCTACAACACCCGCCTCCCCCGCTCTCTGATTGGTCGGAGGAGATTCAACCGAGGAAACTGCAGCCACTAGGATCAGACCCAGACGTACATGTAGGAGATGACCATGGACCAGAGTTTACACATGGTAAGACCAGACGTACATGTAGGAAATGACCATGGACCAGAGTTTACACATGGTAAGACCAGACGTACATGTAGGAGATGATCATGGACCAGAGTTTACACATGGTAAGACCAGACGTACATGTAGGAGATGATCATGGACCAGAGTTTACACATGGTAAGACCAGACGTACATGTAGGAAATGATCATGGACCAGAGTTCACACATGGTAAGACCAGACGTACATGTAGGAAATGATCATTGAGGGCCAGGCTGAGCTAGTGCATTCCAAAGTACAATTATAAATCTACAGAAAAGTCAATCTCTTCGTTGGGACCAGGATGAGTCGTTGCTTTTAGAGAATCAAAGCAGTATGTTTCTTTTTATGATATGGTTTTCGGTCCGTCTCCACCTCTGATAGTATTTTGAAATGGCCATTATTTTTCCCCGTTTGGCCTGGTGCTGGGACTGGGAATGTTTAAAGAGCAGAACAATGTAAAGTGCTGTTATTAGCTGTGATCGAACCCTCACACGTGAGACGACTCTGGAATGCAGAACAAATGTGAAGTTTTGGATTATTCTTTGAGATTTTGCAAAACACATGTGACGAGTTTGTGGTCTGAGGAAAAGTTACTTTGATAAATCCACACGCTCTGGATCATCACTGTCAGACCCTCCAGGACCCCTGTAGACCCAGGACTGAGGCTGTAGATCCAGGACTGAGGCTGTAGACCCAGGACTGAGGCTGTAGACCCAGGACTGAGGCTGTAGACCCAGGACTGAGGCTGTAGACCCAGGACTGAGGCTGTAGACCCAGGACCGAGGCTGTAGATCCAGGACCGAGGCTGTAGACCCAGGACCGAGGCTGTAGATCCAGGACTGAGGCTGTAGACCCAGGACTGAGGCTGTAGATCCAGGACTGAGGCTGTAGACCCAGGACTGAGGCTGTAGATCCAGGACTGAGGCTGTAGATCCAGGACTGAGGCTGTAGACCCAGGACTAGGCTGTAGACCCAGGACTGAGGCTGTAGACCCAGGACCGAGGCTGTAGATCCAGGACCGAGGCTGTAGACCCAGGACCGAGGCTGTAGATCCAGGACCGAGGCTGTAGACCCAGGACTGAGGCTGTAGATCCAGGATTGAGGCTGTAGATCCAGGACTGAGACGGTAGATCCAGGACTGAGGCTGTAGACCCAGGACTGAGGCTGTAGATCCAGGACTGAGGCTGTAGACCCAGGACTGAGACTGTAGACCCAGGACTGAGGCTGTAGACCCAGGACTGAGACGGTAGATCCAGGACTGAGGCTGTAGACCCAGGACTGGGACGGTAGATCCAGGACTGAGGCTGTAGACCCAGGACTGGGACGGTAGATCCAGGACTGAGACTGTAGACCCAGGACTGAGGCTGTAGACCCAGGACTGAGACGGTAGATCCAGGACTGAGGCTGTAGACCCAGGACTGGGACGGTAGACCCAGGACTGAGGCTGTAGATCCAGGACTGAGGCTGTAGATCCAGGACTGAGGCTGTAGACCCAGGACTGAGATTGTAGACCCAGGACTGAGACTGTAGGTCCAGGACTGAGGCTGTAGACCCAGGACTGAGGCTGTAGATCCAGGACTGAGGCTGTAGATCCAGGACTGAGGCTGTAGACCCAGGACTGAGGCTGTAGATCCAGGACTGAGGCTGTAGACCCAGGACTGAGGCTGTAGATCCAGGACTGAGGCTGTAGGTCCAGGACTGAGATTGTAGACCCAGGACTGGGACGGTAGATCCAGGACTGAGGCTGTAGACCCGGGACTATGCTGTAGACCCAGGACTGAGGCTGTAGAGCCAGGACTGAGACGGTAGATCCAGGACTGAGGCTGTAGACCCAGGACTGAGGCTGTAGATCCTGTACTGAGGCTGTAGACCCAGGACTGAGGCTGTAGACCCAGGACTGAGGCCTGTAGACCCGGGACTATGCTGCTGTAGACCCAGGACTGAGGCTGTAGATCCAGGCTGTAGACTGACTGTAGACCCAGGACTGAGGCTGTAGACCCAGATCCAGATCCAGGGACTGAGACTGTAGACCCAGGAAACTGAGGCTGTAGACCCAGGACTGGAGGCTGAGACCCGGGACTGAGTGCTGTAGACCCAGGACTGAGGCTGTAGACCCAGGACTGAGGCGGTAGACCCCAAGGGACTGAGGCTCTAGATCCCGGTCTGAGGCTGTGCGACCCAGGACATTTATTTTAAAATGATTCATAAAAAAAAAAAAATTTATACAACTTTAAATGACCTTGAAAAAATATGTAATCATGACGGTTTCCCGATCAATTCTTTTCTAATAATGGTTCTGGTTTCACATTTAATTATTTTATTTTATGAATCTGAAAAATAGGATAACAATCTTCACTCATTCAAAGCATCAGGTCTGTTGCATCAAAGCGTAAATACTCTCCAGAGTTTGGTGATCTCATTGGTCAGGACCAGAGCTGGAGGATGTTAAACCTCTTGTGGTGTCTGTTTTCAAGTGGTAAGGGGGAATCGGGAGTCAGCCCCGGTAGGAACCTACGCCAGTCACAGGGAGTACCATGCATACTCCACTCAGAAAGACGCCTGTTCCCGACCCGTGGAATTCGACCAGAGAAACTAAACAGAGCCACTTCAGGGTAACTTCTTATATTACCAGTTTTATGTTCTCAAGCTCAAACTTCCTATCAGACAGATGAAGGATTTTGGAAAGATGAAAAACATAGTAATTGTTCTGGGGGATAATTTATAGTCATATATCCGCCTTTTGTCACACTTTGTATACGCTTTCAGTTGTGAACAAGGGCCGAATAGTCGGGTGAATAATGATGAAACAGTGAATCCAATGTGAACATGTTGTAGTGTTTGTTGCCAGTCTTAAGAGATGCCGCCCCGCTCTCCCCCCCCCCACCCCGCCCCCCGACCCCTCCCCACCCGCCTCACTCACACACACACCTCTCACTTTGGCCGTGAACTCTCTCGCTGCTTTTTTATGTGGCAAAAAAGTATTGTGTGTGGATTTGCATAATGAAGGCTTAGATGAGATAACGCCGTAGGCGCAATTCCTCCTGACTTGCCACGCGACCGACATTAAGTCATTAGCGCTCCGCAAAAAAGAGACATGCCACAGACAGCACCCCCACTTCCTGAGACAGCGCAGGTGAATTCAAGGTTGGAGGTATCCGACTATCACCCACGGGGCCTTTGTGCTACCGAGAGCTGGAAGCAAAGATACGGAAATTATAACACAGGCAAAGGCGGCGTGTATCTCCGTTCCCTCTTTATTCAATCTCTAATCCACCGCTCCATTAGCATCTCGGTTGGGTAGTTGCTAACGTGAGGCTAACGTTGATGCTAACACAGTGAGGCTAGACAGGTTCAGGTGATGTCTTTGCTGAATTTAATCTATTTTTGTATGGGCTTGAATCACAACAGTTATCTCGAAGGACTCTCGATTCGACAGCACAGATCAGAGAATCAAACGGTTCAAACTCAAGAAACGCAATCATTTAAAACACGTCCGTACACTGCAAAAAGTGAAGAAAAATAAGTTAAAAATTGCTCAAAATTTGGTTACTTTTCTCTTGATTTGACTGAATTAAACATGACTTTTCAAAGGGACAAAGAGAAAAATTATCTAGTTTTTAAAAAAAATATAAGAAATGTCTCCCTGGGAAATCTTGTTTTAAGATATTAAGATAAAAATAAACACAATCTCAAGCAATTTTTCCCCCATATTTTATCTTTTTTTGCAGTGTAAGAGGCAAGAAAACCATTGTTCATAAATGTTAATTGTTTCCTTTTAAACCTGATCTTAAGAATAATTAACTTGGAATTGAATGTTTTAGATTATGAAAAACATGTATGACTCACAGTCTGTATGTAGATGGACCATGCTAACCCGCTAGCTCAACGAAGCCCATTAGAGTGAAGTGCTCACAGACGAAGTGTCGCTCTGGCTCCTATGACTTCTATGCTAAAGTAAACTCCTCTCGCTCGTCTAGGGCTTAAAAATCCTTGTTAGTTGGTTCCGTCCTGGTTTTAATCCTGGACGAAAAGGGCTACTGTCTGAGTAGATTTAGCGTGTTCTTCGCTGGTCTGTGTAGGTTTCCTCCGGGTGCTACGTTTCCATCACCTAAAACCATCAAAACCATGTACAATTGGTCAGTTCCTCCAGCTTTCTTAGCAACACAACGGCACAAAGCTAACACCGCAAAATAATTACCCGTAATGAGGAAATAGACTCCAGCTGCTTACGTTCAAATCAGCTTCTTCTTCCACGTTTTAAAGGCGAAACACCGGGGTGAATGTCACACTCGGTCTGTCCTACTGTACGGTCGTCGTGGTGAGAAGTGGAGCAAAGGCAGATATGACACAGCGCCCACTGGTGAGCGGAGGACACCTGTCTTCCGGGCTTCACCTTAGGCATTAGCCTCATTAGCGTCGTTAGCATCACTAGCATAGCGTGGCATACTCTTCCCTAGCCGCTTCAGATCCTGGCTGAGTCCTGCTTCCGGCTCGTGTCTATCAAGGCGTGACTCTGGTGATTTTATCGGCCGCCGTTTGATTCCCGGTCCTGGTCAGTCCCGCTTTAACCCTCGCCTTCCCACTGTCAATGATTAGTGCGTTGTGTTCTCCAGAGCGTGGGGGAGGGAGGGGTGAGAAAGGGGGAGGGGGGGTGGGGAGGGAGGGAGGGGGAGGGAGGGGGTGAGAGAGGGGGAGGGAAGGGAGGGAGGGAGGGGGAGGGAAGGGGAGGGAGGGGGAGGGAGGGTGACGAGAGGCTGGAGAGGGATGAGAGTAGGGGGAGGAAGGGGTGAGAGGGGAGGGAGGGAGGGGGGAGGGGAAGGGTGGAGAGAGGCTGGAGAGGGATGAGAGAGGGGGAGGAAGGGGTGAGAGAGGGGGAGGGAGGGGAGGGAAGGGGAGGGAGGGGAAGGCTGAGAGAGGGGGAGAGATGGGAGGGGGAGGGGTGAGAGAGGGAGGAAGGGGGTGGGAGGAGGAGGGGGAGGGGAAGGGGAGGAGGGAGGGGTGAGAGAGGGGAGGGAAGGGGGAGGGGGAAGGGGAGGGGGGAGGGGTGAGAGAGCTGGAGAGGATGAGAGAGGGGAGAAGGGGGAGAGAGGGGGAAGGAGGGGAGGAAGTGAGAGAGTGGGGAGGAGGGGCGGGTCCTGGTGCGCATTGAACGTTTACTCAAGTCCGAAAGAATCCTTTTAAAATCACATGTAAAACCATCAGAAAAGCCTTTGGTTTCATGAAAGTGACAAACAACAACTGAGCACAAAGGAAACGCTCCGCATTCAACAGTAAAGACGCATCTGATCCAGACTGAGGCTGTAGACCCAGGGACTGAGGCTGTAAACCCAGACCTGAGGGGCTGTAGACCCAGGACTGAGGCTGTAGACCCAGACTGAGCGTAGACCCAGGACTGAGGCTGTAGACCCAGGACTGAGGCTGTAGACCCAGGACTGAGGCTGTAGACCCAGGACTGAGGCTGTAGACCCAGACTGAGGCTGTAGATCCAGACTGAGGCTGTAACCCAGGACTGAGGCTGTAGACCCAGGACTGAGGCTGTAGACCCAGGACTGAGGCTGTAGACCCAGGACTGAGGCTGTAGACCCAGGACTTGAGGATGTAGACCCAGACTGAGGCTGTAGACCCAGGACTGAGGCTGTAAACCCAGGACTGAGGCTGTAGACCCAGGACTGAGGCTGTAGATCCAGGACTGAGGCTGTAGACCCAGGACTGAGGCTGTAGACCCAGGACTTGAGGCTGTAGACCAGGACTGAGGCTGTTAGACCCAGGACTGAGGCTGTAAACCAGGACTGAGGCTGTAGACCCAGGACTGAGCTGTAGACCCAGGACTGAGGCTGTAGATCCAGGACTGAGGCTGTAGACCCAGGACTTAGAGGCTGTAGACCCAGGACTGAGGCTGTAGACCAGGACTGAGGCTGTAGACCCAAGGACCTGAGGCTGTAGACCCAGGACTGAGGCTGTAGACCCCAGGACTGAGGCTGTAGACCCAGGACTGAGGCTGTAGACCCAGGACTGAGGCTGTAGACCCAGGACTGAGCTGTAGACCCAGGACTGAGGCTGTAGACCCAGGACTGAGGCTGTAGACCCAGGACTGAGGCTGTAGACCCAGGACTGAGGCTGTAGACCCAGGACTGAGGCTGTAGACCCAGGACTGAGGCTGTAGACCCAGGACTGAGGCTGTAGACCCAGGACTGAGGCTGTAGACCCAGGACTGAGGCTGTAGACCCAGGACTGAGGCTGTAGACCCAGGACTGAGGCTGTAGACCCAGGACTGAGGCTGTAGACCCAGGACTGAGGCTGTAGACCCAGGACTGAGGCTGTAGACCCAGGACTGAGGCTGTAGACCCAGGACTGAGGCTGTAGACCCAGGACTGAGGCTGTAGACCCAGGACTGAGGCTGTAGACCCAGGACTGAGGCTGTAGACCCAGGACTGAGGCTGTAGACCCAGGACTGAGGCTGTAGACCCAGGACTGAGGCTGTAGACCCAGGACTGAGGCTGTAGACCCAGGACTGAGGCTGTAGACCCAGGACTGAGGCTGTAGACCCAGGACTGAGGCTGTAGACCCAGGACTGAGGCTGTAGACCCAGGACTGAGGCTGTAGACCCAGGACTGAGGCTGTAGACCCAGGACTGAGGCTGTAGACCCAGGACTGAGGCTGTAGACCCAGGACTGAGGCTGTAGACCCAGGACTGAGGCTGTAGACCCAGGACTGAGGCTGTAGACCCAGGACTGAGGCTGTAGACCCAGGACTGAGGCTGTAGACCCAGGACTGAGGCTGTAGACCCAGGACTGAGGCTGTAGACCCAGGACTGAGGCTGTAGACCCAGGACTGAGGCTGTAGACCCAGGACTGAGGCTGTAGACCCAGGACTGAGGCTGTAGACCCAGGACTGAGGCTGTAGACCCAGGACTGAGGCTGTAGACCCAGGACTGAGGCTGTAGACCCAGGACTGAGGCTGTAGACCCAGGACTGAGGCTGTAGACCCAGGACTGAGGCTGTAGACCCAGGACTGAGGCTGTAGACCCAGGACTGAGGCTGTAGACCCAGGACTGAGGCTGTAGACCCAGGACTGAGGCTGTAGACCCAGGACTGAGGCTGTAGACCCAGGACTGAGGCTGTAGACCCAGGACTGAGGCTGTAGACCCAGGACTGAGGCTGTAGACCCAGGACTGAGGCTGTAGACCCAGGACTGAGGCTGTAGACCCAGGACTGAGGCTGTAGACCCAGGACTGAGGCTGTAGACCCAGGACTGAGGCTGTAGACCCAGGACTGAGGCTGTAGACCCAGGACTGAGGCTGTAGACCCAGGACTGAGGCTGTAGACCCAGGACTGAGGCTGTAGACCCAGGACTGAGGCTGTAGACCCAGGACTGAGGCTGTAGACCCAGGACTGAGGCTGTAGACCCAGGACTGAGGCTGTAGACCCAGGACTGAGGCTGTAGACCCAGGACTGAGGCTGTAGACCCAGGACTGAGGCTGTAGACCCAGGACTCATGACCCACCTCTATATTATTTGTCTTGTGAAGTAGTCACACCATTTTGTCATCTGTTATAAGTCACATATTTTTTTTTCCTCCTTCCCCAAACCCCAAATCCCGTGAAAAGCCAGTAAATCCAGAGTCGCATTTGTAGCCACGATTAAATATTTAAGTTCATAAACATTTTGGGCTTGGCTGAAACACAGCAGTCTCAGGAGGAAGCAGGACGAGTGCATATGGATGGAGTGTTGTTGGGATAAAGCACAGGTACGGGTTATCCCTGGTCTTACCATGTGTATACTCTGGACCAGGTCATATTCTCCTACATGTACGTCTGGTCTTCCCACCATGTGTATACTCGGTCCATGATCCTCTCCTATTTGTAAGTCTGTCGGTTGAATATCCTCACACCAATCATGCGGGAGGGCGGTCTGTAGGCCGTGTCGTGACGTCAGAGTGTTTGTGCTTTGCTGGTTGGAGTTTGTCGGAGAATCGGAGGACGTCTGAGATCAGTCGTTCTCTCGGATAAACACTGTCTGTGTTTTTCACTGACACTCACATCGACGTGCGCGGTCTGTCCGCTTCAGTTCAGAACGGTGTCTGAACCCACAGCACCTCAGACCATGAACTTAAAGGTGGATTTTACGCTCGCTCAGTTCTCTCTAGGCCCGTTCTGGCTGTATGGTTTATAATACTGGTTTGTAACGGACTGCCCGTGAACGCTCCACACTCTAACATACCGCTCGAAGCCGACAATTAGTAACGGCTGCAGCATACACTTCTGGTGTAGGGACAGAGAGCAGAGTAAACAAACAAACTCAACCATCGGTCCTCATTAGTGTCATGATAAGCAGTTACACACTGTGGCTCTACACTTCTCCAAAGACCTCACAGCGAGACAGCATCACCGGACTCTGCAGCTGTGTACACAGCCGCGACACATTTACAGAATCTTGATATATTCAGGAAACCAGAGCTGTGAGTGTTTGAATATGACCAGCAACAGATCCTTAGCCCCTTTGATAAATGTCAGTCGGTCTGTGGGCAGCCCTGCGGGTCCCTGCTCCTACTGGTTCCCGGCTCCTGCTGTGCCCTGCTGGTCCCTCTATTCCGCTGGTCCCTGCTCCTGCTGGTCTCCTGCTCCTCTTTCCTGCTGATCCCTGACTGGTCCCTGCCCTGCTGGACCCCTGCTCCTGCTGATCCCCGATGCTGGTCCCTGCGCCTGCGGTCCCCTCCCTGCTCCTGACTGGATCTCCTGCTTGTTTCCCTGCCTTTCCTGCCTTGCCTACTCCTCTGCTGGTCCCTGCTGCCCTGCTGGTCCCTACCCCTGCTTCCCATGTGCTGTCCCATGCTCCTTGGTCCCTTTCCATGCCTGCTCCTTATGCAGTTCCCTGCTTATCCTCCTGCTGGTTAGCCCCCCTGCTTCCCTTCCGCTTCTTCCGCTCCTTGTCCGTTCGCCTCCCCCCCCTTCCCCCCCGATTGCTCCTAGCTGTTTCGGTCCCGGCTCCTGCTGATACCCCGCCCCCTGCTCCGCTGATCCCCCCTCCCATATCCTCCGGCTCCTAACGCATCAGGGAAACATCCGCTGATGATCTACAGTGTAATGTGGTGCTGCTGGAAGCCGTGGTTACCTGGAATTGCCCCAGATACTGGTTGTTGTGGGCAGGTTGTGAAAGTGTGTACAGAGTTGTGTGTAATGTTTGTGTTTCGTATCGCAGTAATGTAAGTTTTAAAAACTGGGTCCATATTGACTCTGTGCAAAGGTCCAGTCTACACCGCGACACATCCGCGCTCAATGGGATTTGTCCAAAGGGTTGTTCCTTTCTGTAGCTCCACGGGACGATGGGTTACATGTTAACAGATGGAGGGTTGATGCTACAGTAGCATCTGTAGCTAACCTCACCTTTGTTTTCATGGGTATTTTTCCCATATATACTGTATGTAGTAAATAACACAATGTCGCAATCCTCATGCAAGAGCCGAATCCTGTCAGAAGTACTGATGCTAAGCTGGCTCGGGGCCTGGTGTAGTGCTGTGATGGGTGACCTCTGGGAACCAGCAAGTGCCACAGTGGGGCGACTGCAAACAGGCTGTAAAGTGCCAAAACTGTGGGGTGTCGGTCCCGTATGGCAAGAACACCTTCCCCCACCATTAGAAATGAGTCTGGTGTGTGTGGGAGTGGTTGTGGTGGTGATGGGAGGGGCCGAGGCACAGACTGGCTGCCATCGCTTCCGTCAGTGTGCCCCAGGGCAGCTGTGGCTACAGCAGTAGTTTATCAGTAGTTGGAGAGAATGAATACTGAGAGAAAAGATGATGAGTGTCCAAAAGACTCTGTATAAAAACCAATGCATTATGATTATTATTATTATTATTATTTACTTTTATAAATAAGAGTAACTAGTAACTTCATTAGCACGTTTTGGCCGAACACCTGTTGTTGCTAGGATACAGAACCGTTTACTCGGTGGAAACAGGCCTTTATACATTTGAACCCATAGTAAAGGACTATGGTATACCATTGGAGGACTAGGCTGCAAACCATATCTGGTCCTTGTACAAACACTCTTGATATTTAATAACATCTGTGTCCTGCAGGCTGTAGCACATCCACTGGGTTAATCCACACTGCAGGAGTCCCGGCGGCACCCGCTATACTCGGTCCGCTCAACTGATGGCTATTCAATCAGCCTGTGGGTGTATGTGGTGTGTGTGTGGGGCTCTGTGTGGTGTGTGTGTGGGTGTGTGTGTGTGTTCTCTGGGTGTGTGTGGTGTTGTCTCGGTGTGTGTGGGTGTGGGTATGTGTGTGTGTGTGTGTGTGGTGCGTGTGTGTGTGTGTTGTGTGTGTGTGTGTGTGTGTGTGTGTGTGTGTGTGTGTGTGCGGGTGTGTGTGTCTGGTTGTTGCAGATGTGAGCTGATCATATCCTAATCAGACGGTTTCCTTTGTATTGGATTGTGCTCAGAGTTTTAACAGGACAGACCAGAGAGTCTCTCTCCTCTGGTCTCTCTCTCCTCGTGGTCCTCTCTCCCTGGTCTCTCTCTCCCGGTCTCTCCCCTCCCTGGTCTCGCCGCTCTCGTGGTCTCTACGTCGCCGGCTCTCCTCTCTCTTGATCTCGCGTCCCTGGTCTCCTCCCTCCTCATCCCTGCTCTCTCTCTCCCCTGGTCTCTCTCTCCCTGTCTCTTCCCCTGGTCTCTCGCTTCTGGTCTATCCCCTTACATGTCATGGTGTTGGCCTCATCTAGCAAGCGGCTGATGCAGTGTATTAGCTATCCGAAATTTATAAGGCTGGACCTTCTGGCAGAGCCTGTGTTAGCAGCCGCTGCTATTGACTGACCTCAGCACAAACTGCTCTGATGCCCACAACAGTGCTTTTTTGGGAGAATCTGGTCCGAAA